TAGAGATACGTGGAGGGAGTGGGATATGTACGTTAGATACGTTTTAGCGTGATTAAAGGAGAAACATGAGGGGAGGGAATATCTCATTTAATTCCTAAAATATATATTATTTAAAAATTGTATATGCCCATGTAATTAAATTGAAACTTGAGTAACAAAGGTAATAAGATTTCATATATAGGAAGGTAAAATGCACTCACAAATATGGACATAATGTTTCTCATTAAATCAAAAGACATGGCATCAAGTCATTACGGTCGAGAAGGAAATACCAATATTATTGTTTTTGCTCAAATGCACAAGACATAAATAACTTCTTTTTTTAAACATTTTTTTGAATTGTCAAAACATTAATCGTTCCATGAGAGGTAAAACACCGAGTACTTTTTCCTTTTAAAACACTTCTTAGAGATTTTTAAAAAAATATGAAAAAACATTTGCACTGGTAGAAAATTAGTCTTGCCACGTGGACTAATGATATGTTGACAGGTGTCATAAGAGTCAAAATAATAAAGAAGAAAGAAGATTAGATAAGGCACGATTAAAATATGCATTTAAAAAGTTACCGTACATGATAAATGAAAAGGAGACAATAGGTGTGAAATGGATAATTAAAGACCACGAAGATGGAAAGTTCAATAATAGCCACGAATATGGAAAGAAATCAACATAAACTCCGATTATGCATGATTGGTTGTTATTACCATAACCATTACGAATCACCCATGTAACAGGTAATTAATGTAAGAAATATTTGTAAAGGGAAGGTATTAAGTAGGGCGAAACACTTACAAATTGAACCCTTATATAAAATTTCTTATCATATCTTGTGCCCCTATCACGAAATTCACGAAATTATATTATCAATCGCATATAATTTTACTATTCTCTGTTGTTGGAAGATCATATTATTTCCTATTGGAAGAGAGCCGGAATAATCAATAAGATTTCTTTTTTCTTATTCTCTCAATATTGCTTTCTATGATTTTCAAATTTTTTATATATGAAAAAATGAAGTAAAATTGATTATTAAAAACTTGAATTATCCTTTTATTTGCTTTGACCAAAAAAAACTTTTTTGGTTAAACAACATTACTACAGAATTAGAATGAAAGGCTTTTTTCCATTTACCTCAAAGTACTACACCAGTATCTCCATGCAAATTACATTTAGTATAACATTAATTCTTCACCTGCAAATACCCCACTACATTTAACGCTGAAATATTGAAATATATGTATTCATCATTCTGTCTTTTGATGATATACATTTTAAGCTTTAATCTGTCTTGACTGGTTTGCCGAGATTATAGTGAGGCAAAGGTAGATAATAATGGCAATGTAAGATAATGTCAAACTGACAGTAACTTTGTGACAGAATTTAGTAACAAAAATACAGATTGGCTCCCAACCGGAATGCTTCTGCCCATATTTACCCACATATCCTATTGCTGTTGCTGCCGCACTTCCAGCCACCAGCACTCCAAACACAAACTGTCAACAATTTAGTTCAAAACAAAAAAAAAATGTTTAAAAATGAAACCAACTCATTTTAAGTTATATGCACTGACGGATAAAAAATATTTACACAAACAAGTTATGATATAATTACATGTAAATCTCTATTATAAGTACTAATTGGTAACTTGATTAAAAAGGTACATTGTACATGAATTTTATCTTTTTTGTAGATCATGTTAATTTTCTCACTTCATATTTCTAATAGATTATATTCATATTTTGAGTTTGCTTTTCCTTACGAAATCTACAGAATTTTGAATTTGTTATGCAGGTCCCATAAAAGGGAGTTACATAATTTTCAGTTGGATTTTTCTTTTTATGTCAGCAAGAGTTACTGCATTATGATTGACATTTCATATACTATATAAAAATCTGATATTTAATCAGAATTGATGTATATGTCACAACTTACAGATTTTGTTACGATGTTATCTTAGGACAGAAATTTACTACATAATCCCATTTATGTCCATCTACATTAATTTTTAGTAATGTATTAAGGAGAGAGATTATTCGCTCAAACAGATGCCCAGCACTGATCGGTAAGGTCACTTGGGTATATATTGAAATGAGGAATTAACCTTAATAGCTCACACAACCGGTTAAATTAAAAATAGCCGACAGATGTATAATGTATGCACAATTTTTATATAATATGTGCATAATTAAGTATAATCAGTGTGTACCGCCTAGGGAAAGAAACAGTGAATCCAGCCGGCTATTTGAGTGAAGATCCCTATTGAAATTCATATTTACCTCATCTTTAAAATCTGACAATTAGAGATTTTAGGTGTCTCGTTTATATTAACGCCCTTTAAGCTTTTCCCTAGATATTATGCATGTAATTTACAGAAAGAAAAAGATAGAAAGGTAAAAATATTTGCCCGAGATTTTGTATCAAGGAATCTGTAATTTAAGAATGAAAACCAAGATGGAAATGATCAGAAATAAATCAAAGGAGAAAATACTACAAATTTAAGGGGAATAATTGGGAGGGGACGTACCAAATCATGCAGGAACAAGTAAAAATACTTGTTGGAATCGCGAGGTTTTTGACAGCACATCAAAGCAAGAAACAGAGAAACAACAGATAAGGCACATCCACTGACATTCGCATATGCAAAAAATCTGCAAAATGAGGGGGAAATTAAAGAATCATTCAAGTTTGCTATAACCATAAAAATATATTTCAATCCAAAAGGGTAATTAATATTAATGACTTACTTCATAGAAGGAGAATAGGTGTAACGGGCATCAAATCCAAGAAATAGAACCTGTTTGCTTGTCATAATTCTTAATACCGCACCTAAAGTGAAAGCAAAAGCCAAAATTCTCAACAAAATTTGGAGGATTAGCATAACTCTCTGAGTTTTGAGAGGAGGGTCGTGATTAGTTTTGGCTTCAAAGCTGTCCATTCTGAGGCATGAATTGGCACAGTAGTTTAAAAAAGTAAAGAAAATTGTAAATAAAAAAAAGACCAAAGCAGAGGAAAAAAGAACAGAGAGCTCAGTGAAACTGGAGGTTTAATTTCCTTTGCTGTTATTTATGGAGGAGGCTATTAGATAAGAAGAAACTAATTAGGAAAAGATCAGTAGAGCGAATGGATAAGTTCCACGTCCGAGAAGTACATTAAAAAGCGGGATAAAAATTTATTAGGCTGCATAATTAAGTGACATAAAAAGATTTGTAGAATCTTTCCATATAGTTAGTCAAAAGAGCTTATACAATAATGAGGCTCCTCAGAATTAGACTTTATGTACCTTCCACAATTAATTAATTTGGTCAGTTTTCAAAAATCCGGGTTTGAGTGGTGGAAGCATCTACTAATACTTGTATTAGGGTAGACTGTCTACATCGTACCCTTAGGAGTGCGACCTTGTCACGACCCAAAATATAGACTGTTGTGATGGCGCCTAACGTGGTAGGCAAGTCGACACCTCAAAAATATTTCCAACACTTTTAAATGGAAAAAAGTGAAATAACACAGGTTTAAATAGTTAAAGCTCTCATAAACTGGATAGAAAGTCAAAATTCAATATGGAAGTTCCCAAAACCAGGGTGTCACTGAGCACATGAGCGTCTATACAACAAGAGTCTGAAAATACTGTCACGACCTAATTTCCCCTCCGTGTGACGTTGTGACGGCACCTAGTCTCTACAACTAGGTAAGCCTAACATTTGCGGAATAATGAAATAAAAACATAAATTTAATTACTAACTATAGCAATAACAACATAACTGGGTACCATGCCGCTTGGCATGTACAGTAACCATCTATTAAAAAATATACAACAATCCCAAAACCCGAAACATCGTGAATCACAAACTACAGAAGGAATATCTAGTGTCTCTATACATCAGAGTCTAACAAAAGAAAAATACAGAAGATAATGGATACGGGGAAGAGTAGAAAGGAACTCCGAAGTCTGCGGACGCGGCAGATATACCTTAAAGCCTCCAAAGCTATCCCGGCTCACTGATAGCGTGGCTTATAAGGAGCAATTGGATCTACACATGAAAAACATGTGCAGAGAGTAGGTGAGTACACCACAATCGGTACCCAGTAAGTGCCAAGCCTAACCTCGGTCGAGTAGTGACGAGATAAGGTCAGGGCCCTACTGGTGTGTATGTGTGTGTGTATATATATATATAATAATAATAATAATAATAATAATAATAATAATAATAATAATAATAATAATAATAATAATAATAAAGCAAGGCAAGAATGAAATATCGCAGTAAAATAAGGACTAAAATTTAACAAGAAAGAATTCATAGAAGGTAACAACTCAATACACAGAAATACAACAGAGGATTTTTCAAGATACCGTCTCGTAGTCCCAAACGTAAATGTGCAGGGGGATCTCCCGAAATACCGTTCCGTAGTCCCAAAGTAAATATGCAAGACAGGGGGACCCTCCGAAATACCGTTCCATAGTCCCAAATTAAATATGCAGGGGGATCTCCCGAAATACCGTTCCATAGTCCCAAATTAAATATGCAGGGGGATCTCCCGCAATACCGTTATGTAGTCCCAAAGTAAATACACGGCTCACACAATAAAATTAACGGCTACAACACGAAATCCTACAATTTAGACTAAGTACAAGTCAAGAAAAAATAGGAAATCAACTAGGCATGCTTCACAAAGTTCAATTAAGCAGCTAAAGCACGTAGACATGCGATATTAGACTAAAGTGGATAGCTACACATATTGGGATAGCTCAATTAAGAATGAAAACATGCTAATACTCATTTAAACGGTATAACTCAATTTAAAAGAAGAACAGATTACTACTCAGTAAAATAAATCGGGGTTTTTACAACAATTAGCCCGTGTACTTACTAGTCACCTTATGTACACGACGCTCACATATTAAAACAGTACCAAATCCTAAGGGGATTTCCCTCCCCC